AGCTTAACCGGGAACTCCCCTCCCAACAAGGTGTTTTGCAGGCCAGTCTCCCTTTTTACTCTCTGGCTCCTTCCTTTCGGCCCTCCTGAACCCTCCCTCCAGCGAGCCCTACCCCTGCAGGAGCAGGGACGTGTGGGCTGTGGCCCCCCAGCTCTCCCAGTGACTGCACAGGGCTCAGGGCCCTGCTTTGGTCACTCTGGGCTCTCTAAGTGGCCTCATCCGTCCTGGTGGTTTCTGACCTCGCCCTGAGCCCCAGGTCCGCACACATCCACTCGTCTGCCTGCATCTCCCTGGCATCTCGCAGCGGTTGCAGACACGTCTAAAATGGGGGCTTGGGATTTCCACCTGCACGTCACCTGGAGTTCCCCGTTCATCTGTCCTCCCGCTCACGTGTCTCCTTTCTCTCCACTGGGATCTAGGTGACTTTTTTGGGGGGTCGGATATAAAATGTGTTTGGAATTACAAATTACCCCCAAGATCAGAAAGTGTGGACAATGTTAACTTTGTTTTCCAAGTGGGAACATCATTGTGGCGACGCCCGGACGCTTGGAGGACATGTTCCGGAGAAAGGCCGAAGCTGTGGACCTGGCCAGCTGCGTGAGGTCCCTGGATGTCCTGGTGTTGGATGAGGCAGACAGACTTCTGGACATGGGGTTCGAGGCCAGGTACTGGATTTCGGACACGATTGGACACATGAATTTCACAGCATTAGATTGTTTGCTCCTCAAATTTTACCCCACAATATAAACTCCAGTTCTTCATCTTTTGAAATTTTATTTATTTTTTCCTTAATCCTCACCTGAGGATATGTTGAGAGAGAGAAAAAGAAAGAGAGAAAGAAACATTGATAGGTTGCCTCTTAATGTGCCCTGACCGGGAATCGAACCCTCAACCTTTTGATGTACAGGATGGTGCTCCAACCACCTGAGCCTCCTGGCCAGGGCCCAGTTCTTCATCTTAAGATGCATTTCCCTTCATGGTTTCTTTTAAAGTTTGTGTGTGTGTGTGTGTGTGTGTGTGTGTGTGTGTGTGTCTGTGTGTTAATAAACAGCTCAGTTGGGATCTGAGTCCTATGTCATACAATTCAACCATTTAAAATGTGCAGTTCACTGGTTTTTAGTCTCAAAAAGTTTGTCTGAATTTCACTTTCTTTGAACTGCCCCATTTTGTGAAGCACAATTATGTGCTTATATAGAGAAACTGGAAACGTGGGGACATAAAAAAGAAATAAAAGGCATTCATCACCTCATCTCTCAGTAACATTTGCTGTAAATACTGTGATAGTTTCTCTTTAAGTCTTTTCCGAGTTTAGTATAATGTAATGTTTAGTATCCTCATGTAATGTTTGCTGGTTATGCCGATAAATTAGGGGTTCAGTTTGCACCCTTTTTTCCAGCATAAACAGCATCCTGGGGTTTTTGCCCAAGCAGAGGAGAACGGGCCTGTTCTCGGCCACCCAGACGCAGGAGGTGGAGAACCTGGTGCGAGCTGGCCTGCGGAACCCCGTGCGCATCTCTGTGAAGGAGAAGGGTGTGGCGGCCACCAGCACCCAGAAGACCCCCTCGCGCCTGGAGAACCACTACATGGTGAGCACGCGCGTCCGGCGGCTCGGCACAGTGGTCCCGGGCGTCTCGGTGCAGCCCAGTGACGGTACTCAGTGCCGAGGTGTGTACTTGAATTTGCTAAGGGGCAGATCTTAAGGGACTCACAGAAAACCAAGGTAACCATGTGGTGTGATAGGTAATGTTAGTTTGTGTTTTTTTTTTTTAAATGTTTTTATTGAATTTAGAGAAGAAGGGAGAGGAAGAGAGATAAAAGCATTGATGAGAGAGAAACATCGATCGGCTGCCTCCTGCAAGCCTCCTACTGGGTATAAGGCCCACAACCTGGGCTTGTGGCCTGACCGGAATCCAACCAGTAAACTCTTGGTTCAGAGGTCGATGCTCAACCGTTGAGCCACACCTGGCCGGACAGCAGCCAGGCAGTTACCTTGTGGCCATTGTTTCACACTCATACGTGTATCAAGTCATCACACTGTACACCTTAAGTACGTGCAGCTTTATCTGCCAGCCAGTTAGATCGCAGCAAAGCCGGGGAAGTAAAACACGTGCCCTCCGCTAAAGCAGGGTGCTGACAAGGCTTCACTTTTCAGCTGGGCAGCCTGGTGGACGTTCTGACGAACGTGTCCTGTGTGTGCGGGAAACCAGGCCCTTAAAGTTAAGGCTGAAACGCAGCATCGCTACGGGGATTAGTGTCGTCAATGCATCTGTGTTTATTTTACTCGTCTTCCTTTTACGTTGCAGGTGTGTAAGGCAGATGAGAAGTTTAATCAGCTGGTCCATTTTCCTTCGCAATCATAAGCAGGGAAAAGCACCCTGTTCTTCTTCAGGTAACGCTTCCCGGGCTCTGAGGCGGGGTCTGGGGGTTCAGCCCACACCAGGCGCCCTGGTGCTCCCGGGCCCCCGGGGTTGGCGTTCTTCGGTTAAGGACGCTTCTTCATGTTAGGGGATGCTTTTTGGCTGACAAATAACTGGAAAAACCCAGCTCCCTGTAAGATCGGTAGTCCCCGAAGGAAAGGCAGGGTCCTCGCTTGCTTCTGTGGTCCGGCAACGGTCAGGGTCCAGTGTTTCTTGCAGTTGTCACGGGTTTATATTTGACCCCAGGCTGAAAAAATAA